ATTGTAAATTGTTTGGGAATGAATTAATTTGGAGTTTTCCATGTGACACCCAGAGAGTGCTTGAGAGATCAGGTCGGGCCCACGTGCAAAGGATGTTTGCTGCCCAGGGGTTTGTACAACCTAGAAGTTGAGGAGCTAAGAAGAATTTGTGCCATTTTCCTTAAACAAAATCCTGGGTCCCCAAAATTGATTGTGCCCATTCAGGACACAGAAGGAAGCAGGCAGAAGGAAGGGCTGTGGTGGGGCAGCAGGGAGCCAGTGCCAACCTTCAGATTCTTTCACTTCAACAGAAAGCTTGGAGGTTCAATGTGAAGTTGCTGGAGCTTTGCCATCAGAAGCATCTGGGTTTGAGGTCTGGTTCCCTTACTTACTAGCTGGGTGATCTTGGGCAAATGATCTAACCTCTCTGAGATGTGACTTTTCTCACTTGTAAAAATGTGCTATACCTGCCCCAATTCTATTAAGTGAGAGTATACCTATTCCCAGGAATATTATATTGGTTAAATAAAACACGCATGTAAAAGAATATACTCACCATAATATATGATATGTGATAAACAAATAAGTTATTTTGCTTAATGAACATCAGTAATTTGGGGTCAGATAGCCCTGTCTATCAGCCCTCTGGATTCCTTTTGTGGAATTACCCATCCTAATCAGGTGTAGTCGCTGCGCCCTCTAGCATGCTGTCACCTTGGGAGTAAAGGGTCACAGATATTCCTTTCATCACCTAGTAAGCCATGAGGTGACCACGTGACCTGTACTCAGCCAGAGTCTCTCTCCTGGGACTCCAAATCAGGGACAGAGTGAGGGTGGAGAGAGCAGGGGGCGCAGCCTGAGGAAGACCCCTTTCCCTTCACCAGGGTGCTTCCCCACTACTCCTGCAAAGCCTTCTTTGACTTGGACCTAAAGGAGTCCAGTTTCTGTTACTTGCAACCAAAGAAATGGAGCATTTTTACTTCCTGACTCTAAAAAACAAGCTTTTTTTTTTTTTTTTTTCGTAGCTGCTTCTCCTGTTCACTCCAAGGCACATCCGGTACATGGCCCTTTCTAGAAGATTCCATGGACACAGCCTCAATTGCTACAGCTTCCTGCAGTTCTGCAAGATGCCCTTTCTATTTTGATGCCTGTATCCAGCCCTCAGCCTCCAACAGGCAAATTCCAATCATTATTCAATCCCCAGTCCAAATGCTGCTTGCTTGGGAGGCATTCAATGACCACCCCTGACCCAGCAGCGCCTACCCTATGCCTTCACTGAAGCATCTACTGCATGCACCCCATGGCATTAGAGTTAGGTTACCTGCTGCCGCGTGGAGAGTGTGCTGTGGGAATAGTCTCTCGCAGCTTTGTATCTTTAGTACCTGGTTCAGAGTAAGAACACAAAGCATTTCTTTTGAATGAATTGGTGAATGGATGATATTTGTGCAGTCTTGTGGGTGAGCGTTTATACTTGAGGCACGTCTGGATCATTTGGAAACAGTAGGCCAATTCTGCAGGCCACCTGCTTCTGTCAGTAGTGGTGAGTTATCTGTCCTTATTGTAGTTATCCAAATTGACTATCTGGATTGATCCAAAATCTTAAAGATTGTTGTTTCAGTGTCTTCTTTAAGAGTCACACAACACCATGGTTACAAAACCACAGGTTCTAATCACATGCCAAGCACCAAACAGATATTATTTAATTTAATCCTCATAGTACTTCTATGAAGTAGTTGTTGCTATTCTTCCCATTTCACAGACGAGGAAACCAAAGCACCATCATGTAGGAAGCAAGTGGAAGGGCGGAGTTTCCCTCCCAGGCTGTGCTCTTCCATCCAATATTACCTGCTTGATGATCCCGAGGATTGAGAAGACTCTCAGCTCATTCTCTCACCACTCAATCCAGGTCCACAACTTGGGATGTGATAGTGGCTCATGTCTGGGGGTCTRTCTTCCTCCTTAGAAGCATTGACAATGCGTGCAGAACATGAGCAAAAGAGCTGGCTTTTCAGCTCAGCAGCAGTGAGATGGTAAAGAACGAGGGGGATCCTTCCATACTTGATCATTCTGAGCCACTGAGGTACCCAAAGATGACCATTATGTCAGGAATAATCACATTATTTATTAGCCCTGGCTAAATTCACCAAATTGGATTTGATAGGTAGTAGAGGGTAGTAAGCATGTGAAGTGTTGAAGTCATAGAGTCCTGAATGGGAGGCCTGGCTCAGCCACCTGCTATGGTGTATGTGGCCTTAAGCAAACTGTTTAACCATAACCACTGAGTGACTCAGTTTCCTTATATGTAAAGTGGAGCATAATAAGACTCTTTGGATCATGGGTTGGTTTTAAAAATAAAATGAGATAATTACATGGAAATTACTTGCCTGGCACCTACTAGTGATAATATCATACAAATATTATACCAAAAGCTTGTGTTCATCATGGGAGATTGGTGACCAATGGAAGTTTGGGTTTTTGAGTGAGCAAGGGGAAGAAAATGAGCAGGGAGGTGAGAAGAGAGCTTCCCATCCACTTTGCTAAGGAGAGCACAGGTCTTAAGAATTAACACCCCTGCCTGCAGTACCCCACCCACTCCATGGTTTAGGGTTTTCATACTCGATTCTCAGAGATGTGACTTTATAGGTTTATCTATACAGCAAACCCAATTTCATTTTTAAATACTATTTTTCTCTCCTTCAAATTTCCAATTAAAAAAAAAAAAACCTTCAATAAAGAATGGTCAGAGCTGGGCGCAGTGGCGCACACCTGTAATCCCAGCAGCTCTGGAGGCTGAAGGAGGAGGATTGCGAGTTCAAAGCCAGCCTCAGCAAAAGCAAGGCGCTAAACAACTCAGTGAGACCCTGTCTCTAAATAAAATACAAAATAGAGCTAGAGATGTGGCTCAGTGGTTGAGTTCCCCTGAGTTCAATCCCCGTATCCCTCCCCCATTAAAAAAGAAAAAAGTTTGGTCAGAAAGGGTTATTTTCTTACTAGTGCCTTTTGCCAAAGAGCTATATTTTTCATAATCCCTGTACTATCTGTTGTGACTTCCAGGACCTAGGTGAATTTAGCACCAGAGGGCAAGATTTGCCTGGAGTCTATCAGAACACACGAGCCCTGGTCTTGGGGTTGGGGAGGTAGGTTCAACCCCAACCAGACCACCTAAACTTCCAACTTCACACATTCCAGATTCAGATGCAGAGAACCTTCAAATGCTTCCTGAAGGAACCAGACCTCATCACAAAGCTCTCAAAAATAAATATATAAAATAATGTGTACTTTAAAAGTAAGAAATGCATTCTCTTGGTGCTTCTGTCTCAGCTTTTAATAACCACAGTTTACATGGCTCACAAATTAGACCCATTCTCTGAGAGATCTTTGGATTGGAAATTGGGATAGAAGTGACTATAAATATATGAAGGCCTTTCTGTACTCTGAGAGCCTCAGACACACTTAAAATATGTTAATAAACCCCTTTTGTGTACAATTTGATAGAATGAAATTCCCTCTGTTGCTGTCCTCTTTCTGTTCTCAGGGGTGCTGAGAGGAGTTGGGGTGCTAAGTAGCATTCTCAAAAGGCAAATCCCACAGAATGGGGAACCTCTAGGGACTGTTGGGTGTTGTCCCTGACATCAGTGTGAACTTCACCAATGGGATGTGCAATTACTTGTAATGTGAAAATTAAGAGAAATTTAGACTTCATATTCCTGTGGGGCCTGGTAACCACAGGAATTGTCAAATGGCATGAACTGTGTCACATACAGTAGCCCAAGGGACTCTGAAGAAATTCAGATGACTAAAGAGTACTGAATCTTGAGAAGCCCCCTTATTACCCACTGTGTTCTTTGAGGTTGAACTTTTCAATGACTCTTAACCTCCACCCAGCTCTTGAGTCACGCTGCAAGGACTGTAAAAAGGAATCTCTCAAATGTAAGGAAGGACCCACAGTGCTTGCGTGTTTCACACCGGGTGAACGTGATTCTGCAGATTCCAATTAGGAAATGCTCTCCTGGTCCTTCTCCTAAGGGTGTGAGGGACAGGAGGGGCATCCCAGAGCTGTATTTTGCATCGTCTGGATGATTGTAAAACTCCCTACCCGCCCCCCCCCATCAACCAAAAAAAAAAACCCATCAGCTTCAGTGCCCTCCCCCCACCACCCCAGTTCTCAAATACTTTCATCTTGTTCCCAGAATCCTCTAAAGTAAATAAGATGTCCACCCAGATAATGGAAACCCCACCAGCTCTCAGTTAGTGCCTTTTCATGCCAATTAAACACATTTTATTCAGTCATCGTAGATGCATCAATGGCTGCATTCGGAGACGCCAATAGGGCTGCGGCAGACATCAGCCTAGCAAATGAAATGTGTTTCATGTGAGTTTTCTCTCGTCTTATTCTAACCACTTGGCCACGGTCTCAGTTGAAAACATTGATTCTGAAAGATGTATATGGATATATAAACTGATTAACCAGCTTATTTGCTACTGATTACTAATAAAGATCTCCGAGTGCTTAATTTAAATTAATACTTCCTTCATTAATGAAAATCCAGCTTAGAGCATTAAAAAAAAAATCTTGACAGATGCATGTATTGCACAAACATACATTTATCTATGCCAGGCCAATTGAACAGAAAATCATATTTGGTTGGGGCTATAATTGATAATGATTCTACAGTTATCATTTTGGTTAGGTGTGCGTTGTTCCCTGGAGTTCTTCTGATAGCTTAAAAAGGTTTTCTCCTGTCGGAGGCTGGGAGGAGCCCTTGAGAAGTCAAGGGAAGTGGGCAAGGCCACCTCAAATATGTGGTCACATTTGAGACAAGGAGCAAGATGTTCTGGTTTCCCTTCCCCCTGCCCTACATCCTCCTGTGCTTTAAAAAAAGAAAAAGAAAGAGTGTCTGCCTTTCCAGCGTAGTAAAAATTGGAAAGGGGACAAAAGATGTCAAATGTTAAGACCCAGGGATTAAACAAAATTGGGTTATTGATTAACCAGTGTGTTGGTAACCTGATGTTTGTGGCAGCCAAATACCAGAGTCTCCCGTCTTGGAGTTTATGGGCCAATTTCTCCCAAGATGAGTGAGCTTGTTGTGCTGCCGCCAGTGGACTCGCCAGAGGCCGGCCAGCCCGGAGTGACAGCGACTTGGTGTCTGGAAGCCCCACTGGGTTGTGAAATGAACAAGGCCCTCCATGCCCCCCCGGATCAGACCCGTGTGAGCCCCGGGGGGCTCTGGGAGCGAGCATCTCCCAGCTCCTAAAGAGCTGACATATATCCTGCCTTTAAGACAAGACTACAATTGCAAATCCGAGAATATAAATTACACTTTCATCTTT